AGGACCAAAAAATATACCACCAATCGCGAGATCTCGTTGAGAGCAATCCGTTGGTTTTTTCCGCTAAGCTCTACGACCTTCCGTTTCGAAACGCCAGGGGGGGGGTCGTAACAACCCCCCCCCCCCTGGTCGTTCGTGTTATGAGAAATGGCCTGGTCGTGCGAGGGTTAATGAACGACTGATTTAGCAGAGCTCGGTAGGCCTAGGCAAAGCTCGCTTTTAAGGCACTTAGGTCCAGCGGATAGGATAGAGCCCCGCAACTTTTCAATATTGTTTTATATCGGCTAATTGCAACGACAACATCAGCGCCTAACACCTACATAATGTAATTTTCCATTTAGTTCTGATCTGTTGCTGAATTTCCGTGATCCAGAACCGCATACCTATTTTAGCGTGTTGTGACCTCTTTACCAACGCCATGTCAGGCTAAAAGGTCATTCATGGTATACCCGCATGTAAACAAGTGAAATGCCGTCTCGTCTATACGTTGCCGTGAATGTCACGGTTACGTGGATGTCGGTCGAGGTTACTGTCTTTTGATACCCGCGGTCCTGGAATCGCCTATGTGGGGAAATATGGGGAAACGTTTGTTTGTAGTTTCCCCTTGCAAACAACTCCTTACATTACAACTGATAAACACTAAGGGCTACCAAAGAGTAAAACGATTCACAACTACTTTGCCAAATAGGGGAAGCCGGGGGAAGCCCGGCATAGTAAGCTCTTTTTCATTTTTATTACATACCATACGTGCTGTATAAAATGTTGATATCTTGCTAGCTAGCTAAGTTCATTGGCCGTGTTCTCCCAAAAATTCGGTTTCGTGGAATAAGTATAAGGTTGAGAAAATCGAGTTTTAAAAAAGTGTTGATTTTTCTGGGGTAAGCCCGGCATAGGGGTAACGCCGGCCACCTCCCCAGCGCTTTACAACGAGTTGATGAAACCATTATGTGTTTTCCAAATATTAACGGAAAGTGAAATATTAAGGTACTGGTTAGCTCTGGACATCTTAGAGTTTATGTCACTACTGGTATTTTAGCTAGCGTCTACTACATATACAGTACAGGTCGATGAAAATCATGATGCAAAATTGACAAAAAATGTGTATTTCAAAATTCCTTAAAATTTATTTTTCTTTTTACCTTAATGCATCATATGGCATATCATTCGACACGGCTGATGAAGAAGAACACAACGACACCATTTTTGAAGCTTTAGCTTCATTGTCTGTCGCGTTATCTGCAAAAATGTAGTTTGACCCTAGTTGACCTTAAGTAACATGACTGGCTTTGTCTATGATAACATGTTTATTTTCGAAATTTATCTTTGATCTAGGTGTAAACCAAATCTGCTCAGTACCTATTATCTCATGGAAAACAGTGGTTTAGTGGCATTGCTCTCGGTTGGGGGTAAGCTTGGCCACTCGCCCGGGGTTACCCCAATGTGCTAATTTTTATTTTAGAACAGCGATATTCGAAAAAATGTCATACTTAAGCCAGCCTGCCTCGTCACCCCTCACTACAAACACTTAAACGGTCCTTACATAACATTCGTATAAATATTAGTACTGTATGGTATAGCATTAACAGTGCAGCATATCTCACTTTTTAGCTAAAAACCCTTAAAATATCATTTTTGCGCTATAACTTTAACAATATGCAATTTTTGTCAGCCTTAACTTTTTTGCTGGCGTTACCTTAGCTGCCACGCTGAAAGGACAAACAGTTCAGCATTTTATTGTGAATAATTTAGCCGGAAACGGGGTGGCCGGGCTTCCCCCGCGCCCGGGCTTCCCCCGGCTTCCCCTAAACGTATACGTTTTAGAGGTGCCCCTGACCCTGTGAGGGCAGATGTGATAAAACGTTGTGTTGCATGTCATTATACATAACTGGTCTTCGTTGCGAATCACTCACAAAAAATGAGGGCATCTCAAAAGTAACTCCTGGAGCCGCTGCTGTTTATGCGGTTTATGCATTCGTTTTTAGACATTGACAAAAACATGAGGGAGCGTAATACCCACTGCCGCTTACAGGATTCAAGGCCGACAGGCCGCCCGAGGGTTCAAACGACCTTTAATTGAAACAGCTCCACAACATCAATGCCTTCAAATGATAATTTCAACCGTCCAGCATTGCTAGCTTAATTTTGCAACAGCGCAGACAAACTTTTTCATTATTGCGTTCGCTGATATGTCCCTACCTTACATAGTAACAATGAAGTTTGTTTGTTTTGTTGGGTTATGCTCTTTCGGTCTAGCGAGACCATTTCCGAGCCGGAAGGATGATATGAATTAGAGGGAGACATTGGTCTGGGCGGGCACCCTGGTGACTCGTCAGGGCTGAGCCCATCACGAGGACAGGCCACCCACCCACTGACAGTTACCGCATCCGGATTCGGGTCTGCTCCCAGGGGAGCTAGAGCTACTCGCATGGGATAAAGTTGCCCATCCAGCTCGGAATAGGGGGTTGAGGCATGGAGGAGAAGGATTTGACTATCTTGAGGATGGAAACGACGGAACGGAGGAACAATGACGGGAGGACTTCAGATTCACGGGAGTCTGGTGTCTTTCATCCTTGGCCACGCTAGGGTGTCTATACTCTGTTCCGTTTCAAGCTTGCAGCCGAAGAACCCTCCTGAAAGGAGTGCGTGATTTCTGTATATACAGCTCTTACATTTTAAGAAGCAAATTCTTGAGCGGAGGAGCGATCTGCAGAGGCCTCTTGCACCAAACTACCTAGCTAGGTAAAATCGAAAAACCGGTTTCAGAATAAGCTTATCTAACAGTGGTAAATTTGTTTGCAATAGCCCAATACATAACCCTACATGTGCTTGCTAAATTTTGCACGCAAATTGTTACATTTTAGACTTGGACTGGGTATACGATGCAAAATAATCCAAGCATTGGTGCAAGAGGATTTTGGTGCAAGAGGCCTCAGGAGAAACTCCGACTGCAAGCTTGGTATGGAACAGACTATAGTAGTGGACACTCTGTGAGCCTGTGAATGAGAATTTCAGCAACTATGTCCTCATTGAAATCTAACTCTGGCCTCGAGCCTAGGTCTCATAGAGCGGCCAGTAAATAATCGTTCCAAATCAGAATATCTCTGCTCGGTCGCTAGTCATCAGCGCCACTTCTGCCACACGCAGCGCCACCTGTGTTTGTAGATGACGCCACATGCCAGAAGCTCCATGCTGAGTCAACGGCGAGTGTATTACCGTGAAGCAGCGCCCTCACCGATGCCCACTGCACAGTGCACAAGTATCCCTGCAGGTAATTAGATTCGGTTCAAAGGTGAAGCGCAGCCGCCAGTTCGGTACCTCAACTCCTTTTACACTGAGAATATCCGCCATCCGCATCGAACCTTGAAATGGAAATTATCATGACAAGGTACAACCAAACTACAAATGTCTGCGAGCAACTCTCCAACTGTCTAAATAGAGCCCAAATATATTCCCAACTGTCTTATTTCCTGTTTCATATTAACCCTCGCCCGTATTGGTGTTTTTCCAGCCGCGAACGTATAAGGGGGGTCCGTTGGACCCCCCCCCCCCCCTCCTTGCCGTTTCGCCCCTGATCGAGCTAGAGCTTCGCGGAAAAAACGAGCGTGCTGCCCGTGACGAGAGGAAGCCGATGATACCTAATTTTAAGGTCCTAGGTCATTGGTTGACCTTGCAGGTCAGGTCAATGACCCAAAAGTCGGGAAAATCGGGACCTGTTAGAACGTCGTAAAGTGTGGCTGCTATGGGGTTTTTCGGGGCGCTCATCACGAATATCATGTTAGTTTTGATCACAGATGATGTCTTTATGCATTTAGTCCAGGTCGGGTCAGGTCAGGTCAGGTCAACCAGTAGGGGTCCTGCCGGGTATTCCTAGTAGGTGTCAACCGCCTCTGACAGCTTCGTAACATGTCACGAAGGCACCAAAACTACTTCGTAAATGTTCATATGGTTGCTAAATTCAAATTCAGCTCCAAAAACTGGCCTAGAAACATGTAAAACTCGAAAAAGTGAACCGAGGTCACCAAAGGCCAATGACCTGACCTGACCTTCAGGTGACCTTGACGCCCACCCTTCTGCATGGGGGCAGCATCATATCACATGATTGAACGCTTGAAACCACGAAAAGACTGCAAACGCGCGGCTAATGCGAGCCGACATACGCCAAATCGCGATTCCGGCCAAACATGGTCTCGAAAAGTAGGTCACAGGTCAAAGGTCATTGGGGTCAGGGTCATGAAATTTTCAGGGTAGCTGTAAAATTGATTAATGCGAGGGTACTGAAAGTTTCGTCGCGATCGGCCGCTTTTTACGCGAATAATTCGCGAAAAACCATGGGGGGGTCCGTTCGACCCCCCCCCCCCCCCCCCTATACGGGCGAGGGTTAAAAGCAGTGAAGCTAACATCAATACAGTGGGCGGCCGGAATGATATGATCGATTTTACTCTCAGCCTGCGCTCGGCTGAGCCTGCAGCCGAATGCAAATGACTAAAGGGGGGGGGGGGGCTTTGCCTCCCCCAGATTGTCACCGACGGCGACACGTCACAAAGCATCGCAGCGAGCCGCACGAGGCAGCGTTGAAAAGATCTAGCCTATTCGCCGCTGAAAGAATCCTGAAATTGACATTTTGAAACCACGTGCCGGGTCACGGTTAGGTCAAATGCAAAATGGAGCATATTCACATTTAGCGAACGCAGTGTCGAAGACAGCCACTGGCGGATCCAGAGAAGCGTTCTTGGATGTTGCAGAAGGAGGGCAACCCCCCCCCCCCCCCACCCCCACATGTCGTGATTTCTGAAACCAAGCTGCGCTGTGTCGAGCCGGCCTCCTGAACCGCCACCCCTGCAGCTCCGTCTGAGCCGTCCCGACTACCGGGGCCACACGTGGCGCTCCTCTTGGCACCACCCACCGACCTGCACCCGGCGCCGCCGCGGTAGGCAGTGCACCCGTCCAGTGCAGCCTCCAGTGCCGCGCCGCCGTGTGTGCTCTTCGCCGAGTGTCTGCGCGCGCGTGTGTGTCTGTGCTTCTTTAGCGCAGTGAGGAGCTGCACAGTGTGTGTTCGTGCGTGAGTTTTGAACGGCACAGCGCGGCGCCAGAGCCGAAACGCGGAGAAGAGCACTGCTCAGTGATCCTTCCTTATAACCAAGTGTGACGGGCCGTAAGGAAGAGTGGTTCAATCGCCGTCTGTAACTTTCGTTGGCAGTGACTATTTCAATTGATTTATTTCACTGGCACCAGACAAGCTTGTTTCTGCGAGATGGAATGCAACTAGTAAATTTCTAATTTCGTAATCTCGTCAGCAGTTCGCCATCGTCTCAACAGGTCAAGCTGCAGATCAGGTGAGAAATCTACCGGTGTGTAACACTGGCTAATCACTGTGATGGCCCTAACCTAACATCTAATGAAGATCTTAGTCGAAAACTAACAACGCACGCTTGTACTTTGCGATTTCATGGTGGTTGAATTCCTTTCTCAACTGTCTATGTAAAAAGCGTAACACAGAATGAATCAGTCAGAGCCAGCCTGTCCTAGCACTAGCACACACTGAACTATAGTATCAACCGACAACCGTCCTTTTGTCTGTCATACCCACCACCGCCTGTTATTCGCCCATCAGCCCCCCCCCCCTCACCCCGCCTCTGCAGTGTGTCACTTGACCCGTCAACCCTCCCTCAGCAGCCCTCCTCCGCTCCACCGGTCGCTCCGGTCCGACCAGACCCACCGGGGACCGGCTCTGACCGGTCGACTCGTGCACACTGCACCGTGCACGACCTGCGGCGCACGGTGCATAGAGAGCACGGCCGGTCAGCTGACCCGGCCGCCCCGAACTGAGCCACACGCCGGCCGGCACGGTACGGCGGGTGGCCGAGGAAGCAGCGCCGGGTGGGCTGCCAGCGGCTGGGGCTGCCGCTCGCATACGGACTAGGACGAGATGGCACCAAAGCACCACAGCATCCCGGTCAGGCTATGGCGTGAAGCCTAGTCGTAACAGACTTCGCACAGGGTCGGTGGGGTGACGGTAGGTCACGCTCATCGGACATCGCCATCATCACCTACAGGTACCATTGAACTATAAATACAAGAGGCATGCCTTACATCACTATCTCTCATCTCATCGCTTCATTTTAAACGTGAAGCGTTGTTATGAGAGATTCCAGGACAAAAAGTCAAAAGACAAAATGTCAAAAGACAAAAAGTCAAATGCAAAAGTCAAAATGGATAAAAGTCAAATGGAAAAAAGTCAAATGGATAAAAGTCAAAACGGATAAAAGTCAAAAGACAAAAAGTCAAATGGCAAAAAGTCAAAACGTCCAAAAGTCAAAAATGCAAAAAGTCAAATGGTAAAAAGTGAAAATGGCGAAAAGTCAAAAACGCAAAAAGTCAAAAGCAAAAAGTCAAATGGCGAAAAGTCAAAATGGCAAAAAGTCAAAAACGCAAAAAGTCAAAAGCAAAAAGTCAAATGGCAAAAAGTCAAAATGGCGAATCGTCAAAAACGAAAAAAGTCAAAAGCAAAAAAGTCAAATATCAAAAAGTCAAAATGGCGAAAAGTCAAAATGGCGAAAAGTCAAAAACGCAAAAAGTCAAAAGCAAAAAGTCAAATGACAAAAAGTCAAAAAACGCGAAAAGTCAAAAAGTCAAATGGCAAAAAGTCAAAACATCCAAAAGTCAAAAATGCAAAAAGTCAAAAAGACAAAAAGTGAAAAACGGCAAAAAAGTCAAAATGATAAAAATCAAATGGAAAAAGTCAAATAATCGGTCCAGCCGTTGTGCGGTTATTGAGGATAATAGTTTTCGGGTGTGTGCAAAGTACCCCAAGTTTAGCACGCGCCACGTGCTAAGATCGACACTCAGACAACATGGTGTCCATGCCATACAACTTTTACATCCAAGTGGTATTCAGCAAAGAAGACCGCTTGTCGATGCGGCATGCGGTTCTTGAGTTATAAGGGTTTGAAGAGCGTGATGGGGTCGTGTCGGGTCGGGTCGTGTCGGGCCGGGTCGCGCATACTCAGATTTTTGCCTTAAACACGAAAGAACTCGCTCGCTCGCTGCGCTCGCTCGCTCGTAATTAACCCTATGGCGTTGCATGGAAAGAAATGAGTTCAAACTGCCTCGAGCCCCTCCAACATTGAGAAAGTTCCAGCGCCAGTGCTCCCACATGTAATAATAACCTGTGAATCATTTTCATTTTATTACTTAACAGGGGCGTCGTTTTGTATAGGCCTGGGAGTGCCCGAGCACTACCAATGTTCAGCTGAGCACTACCAATGTGTTGTTGAGCACTACCAACATTTTTCTTCACTTATTGAGAAAATTGCATTCAAACATGTCATACAAATAAAATGAATGAGGTTCTTATGTATAAAATCAACATGATAGCAAGTAACTTCAATGGTAAGTGGTAACTATTGATAAAAATCTATAGACTTACTCCACAAGTAGATTGAATTTGAATTGGTTGACCAATTCAATCTTCTTGTAGCGTACCTAAGTCCATAAATTTCCATCAATACCTAGGTATCATTTTCACTTTCCACATCATGTCATTACGTCAAGTAATTTCAAGTTATGTGGTACCTACAGGGTGGGGCAGCATAATCGGGAATGCTTTTTGGGCTCTGATCATGAGTAGGCATGGCATTATTTTTATAAATTATATTATGGCAATGAAACGCCCAAAAGTTGTGCATCATCTGACATGACTACATCCATGAGCATGCAACTTCCTGGAAAAGAGCAGCAAAATAGTTCGACGGTGCTCCAAGTGCTTTGCGCGCGCCCATAGACACTAATGTTAAACAAGTAAAACAAGAACATTTTGTTTAAAACCCTGCAATTCCACGTAAAGGTTGCTGGGCAGGTCAACGTGTTATCACGGACGATAAGGATTGTGTGGGGATACTTAGGACAACAGGTTAACGTAATCGTCGTAAAATAACTCTTAGCAGAGGACATACAAGATGACTCACTTGAATATAAGGAAGAAGCACTTGAGCATATTAAAAAGAAACAATGTTCAAAACTTCAGCGACAAAAAATCTTATCACCGACTGAAATACGATAAAAAAGAATGGCATGCCATATAGGGGATTGTATCGAGAATATTCCAGCGGTCATGCAAAGTAAACATCCTGTTGGGGTGATGGACCTATGGGTGGTCTTCAAGGGAGGTGCACGTGGTGCACCCTACTTCATCGAGCCCGGATAAAATGAGCACCTCTGGTAAATACAACCGCACTCTGGCAGACTCACGTGGAGCCGTCGGAAGAGAGGATCACTGACGGTCCAAATCACGTCTTACGAGGACTCTGTCCGTGCTGGTACTGCAGTGAGGACGACATGTTATTGTGTAGGGCACCTCCACCTGAGATGAACCAAAAACTTCTGGTCCTTCAACTCCGCCGATTTAAATCCGACCAAATTCTTTACATGGAGCGTTTTTTGGTAGAAGTTTAATGAACAACTTATCATCAGTAAAAACAGTCTTCAGTGCAAGGTACGAAGCTGATGGGCGATCATGGACAAGCAGGAGGTTGCACGTGCATGCGCGTGCTTTTGGACCCGCCTTGAGAAGGTCATCGACGCCGAGGGCGGTCAAATAGGATGAGGGATAGGTAAAAGGTGACCGATTGATAGGATGTTGCTAAAATAGTGCTTGGAGCTATATTTTTAGATTCATGACCAAATAATCCCGTTTGATATTTATTCCCGATTATGCTGCCCCACCCTGTACCTACCTACCTACATACCTACCAAGTTTCACAAAAGTCAGGGGCGTCGTTTTGTATAGGCCTGGTAGGGCCCGAGCCTTACCAATGTTTACATATTTGGGCCCTACCAATGTTCGCTGAGCCCTACCAATCTCTTGTCACTTATCAGTTGATAAAAAATCAAAATAAACAGGTAAGCAAATATTAAATAAGCACATATGCAAGTACATAAATAAGGCTCTAGCCACAGTAGGTGCATGCAGCTGACAATGAGGTTTCACGTGTCTAAGACTCCGGTCCTTAATGGATTTTAAGAGGCTCGAAAACGCAATTGGTTATAGAGGTCCATAACTGCCTCTGAGTCCCGCATACCACGCGACCGCCCCTAATAGACCCCGATCCGTCTCCACACCAGCCGCTGGAGGCCCTACACCGACTTCGGAAGGTGCCGCAGTGCTCCAGAATAGGCCATAGGTATATTGATTTGAGTGGGTGATGCAGCCTGATTCCCCAGGGTTCAACGCCAGGTCATTACCGCATCAGACCCCGAAAACTGAAGCTCGTAACTACGAGGGGCGTTCAAAAAGTTTCGGGCCGAACAATGAAGGAGTTGGAATTTTGGCCTGCAAGGCGGTGTGTTAAATGATGTGTTATTGGGATGTCCACTTACGCAAATTAAGTAAGTGGCCATTAATTAAGTCTCTTCTGTGATAGATTCGGGCTTCTATTCGTAGCATAGTTCGCCATTTCGGATAGGATGGGCGACGCCCAGAAGAGAGCAGTGATTCGTTTCATAGTAGTTAGTGCAGAAAAGGCACCAAGCGTTAACCCTCGCCCTGGGCATTTTTCATAACACGGCCTGGCAGGGGGAGGGGTCGATGCGACCCCCCTCCGCTCGTCAACTTTCCAAAACAGGGGCACACAATTGATGATGTGCGTCCATTCGATAAACATCGAACATCGAGGAGAGGCTATAGGGAAGCTGACGTAAAGTGTGCACCTGATCCGCGACTGCACGCACCTGCGTACATGGGCGGGATGACGAACAGTGAAGCGATGAGCTTCGAGTTGTTGTCGCATCCACTTTTTCTCTCCGAACCTTGCACACTCTGGTTAGTGGTTGCCACCTCTTCCCCAACATAAGAAAATTAGCAGCGGCAACCTCGCTAACAGCAGGGAGACGAAATCAGCCGTCTTGGACGTGCAGGATGGGTCCAAAACCCACTTGGTTATGGAGGCCTTGAGGGCTCTCGCGAAGCGCTGCGCGAAATGAGTTTGTCTTAACGGTGTTTATTTGAATAAATGAACTTTTTGGTCTAATGAGTCGATGCTGTATCTCTCTGCTCCTTCATGGTCGGGCCCGTAGCTTTCTGAACGCCCCTCGTACTGTCATCCTTTTATTTTGGCAAGCAGGTCTTTCTAACTATCGTTGTGTTTCCAGTCCTCGTTAGTTGTCGAACCCTTCAATTGGCGTGGGTCTTCAAAACCGTTCCTGGCCCCGCAGCCGTCTTTTTTAGTCGGCTTGGGCCCTCAAAGCTGTTCCTGTCCCCTTTCAGCACAGCCGTCCTTTTAAGTCGATGTGGGCCTCTTTCAGAATGGCGTGCATTCCTCCGACACTATTGCCTATA